CCCCAAAACCCCAAAACCCCAAAACCCCAAAACCCCAAAACCCCTTTTTTATGGATTTGGTTGAACAGTAAAGGCCGATGTCATTTCTAAAGCAAATATGGCGACTAGGATTCATGATTGAGATTACTTTAGAAGTTATATGTATGCAAATTAGCTTTTCTAAAATTAAAGAATAAATAAAGGCGTCATTTTGCAAGTTTATGATCTACTTTTAGCTTTCAGTAATCAATAATTCACACAAATCTGGATTTCCACTTCTATAATATGATAATCTGAAAGGCTGCCAATTTAAAGTCAGGCTATAAAATTCAAATTGTTAGGCAACTTAGATTTCCAGTTGAGCTTTCATCAAATGAAGAAGATCAATAAAGCAATTTAGTGAGAAAAAATTTGGATGTTCCTACAAAGTTGAGAATCATTAGTCTTGGGCATTAGACCAAAAGTCCACGCAAGATTCTAATACTATAAAAATGTTTCATAATCCGGAAGAAATGGGTGTCTACAACAAAAAGGAAGTAAAAAGGAGCTCAAAATTCTATACTAGCCTTCCAGTTAGTTAGATAGGTGTGCATTGAGCATACATCTTGTTTGAAGGATTATCGAATATCATTATTAAGGATGCAAGAAAAATGGAGGTAGAGGTTCATGTTGTGTGACACTAAACCTAATCCGAAGTGAGGTTTTAGAGAAAAAGACGTATGGATAAACTTTCCTTGTGTTTTTATAATAATTATTAATCATTTTCTTCTTAAAAATCCCACTCGCAAACCCATGAAATGAACGCATTTGTATGTTAGAAATGATTTAAATAGGATTTTTAATTATGTCAGCGTTCAGGCTTTCAAAAGTTTCAAGATATTTCTCTCTATCCCCTTTGATACATTTTTCCTCAGTTTGCAGTAGGTGATTCATTCATTTGATGTTCTTGTCAGCGAGAGTTCCTGAGTATATATACTGGAGACATATCCTGAAGTACTTTCACTTATTTACTAAGGAGTATTTGGCTCTTGTATAGTTAGTCATAGCGGCATTCACCACCTCTGCATCCTGATATGGAGTAGAAGATCCTTCTACTATGTCTTTTGTCGAAATCCTGAAGGTTTTAAACAGGAAAATAGCCAGATTATGGATATCATCACTGAACCCAATATCTAGGAGTAATTGCTCAATTCTCTCAATAAGTTCTGAAAATTCATAGTTAATGAACCTCTTCTGCACTACGTCATTATTCCTCTCAGTAAAAAGTCTATGGAAAAACCTTCTAACCATACGTAGGATGCCTTTATTAATGACATCCATCCGGAGCTTTTCCTTCTGCTCTAATAACTTCTGCTTCTTTTTCTCTGGACACTTGGGTCTTCTTTTTCTCTTCTTTTGGTCTACTTTTTGGGGACCTTTACCAGTTTCATGGTTACATTCCTTCTGAGGGTACGAATATTCCATTGATTGTGAGAAGTCTTTTTCCTGAGAAAGTTTGAGTGTGCTGATTGAAGACTTCTCCTTCTCGAGTGTCGAGAATAGATAGCCTGAGTCTTCAAACTCTTCGAATAAGTTGATTTGGTGATCTCCGCTCCACCCAAGGCTGATGAGGTCTTCTTCTTCCTAATTTCAAGGTTAGATACTTGAGATGGTGAACAGAAGAATAAAGTTTATGGGATAGAGAAAGGGTTGTGGAGTTAGTGGAGGTATCTTACCTGGAAGATCGATTTGGTATCAAAAGAGTTTGGTTTAACGTCGTCAAACTGTACGAAATTAGATGTAAACATTGTTAATTAATATTTAGGTAAGTTTCACTCTTATAACTACTTTCCGGGGTTTTGGGGTTTTGGGGTTTTGGGGTTTTGGGG